GTGTTACACAATACTTTTCAAACAGTATGCACAGACAGGGGCCATACATAATACACCGGAGGGCAGGACCGTTTTGGCATTATAGCACTTTTGAAATCCAACAACCCTATGTGGCCCTTTAAACCAGATTCTCCGTACCGCAGACGGTTAAAAAAATATTATAATAACACTTTATATATTATATTTTAATATATATATATATATATATATATATATATATATATATATATTGTTTATAAGTTCATAATAACGATATTGAACTAAAACATAAGCTATACTTAAAGTAGGGTTAGCATATCTCACTTACCGGGAGGTTTGCTAGAAACCAGGCTCTGCGGGGGCAGAACTTTCCAATCCGAAAAGCTCTTTTTCTCGGAGCCTTCGGGCGCTCCAGGGCTTTCTTCTAGCGCTAGGGAAGTTTCCTAGGGCTTGGGGGTGTTTGGGAGGGTTAGAGAGAGAGTAGAGAGAGAAAGAATGGGAGAAAGAATGAGTTTTAGGGGGCAGCCCTCGGACCTCTATTTATAGTGCTGGAGCTTTGGTTATGCAGGGCGTACCTGCAGTGGTACGCAGTGCGTTCCTAGGTACGCAGCGCATTCCGAAAAGTACGTGTCCAAATACTGTTGGGGCGACGTGGCCGATCTGAGACCAAGAGTTGCGAGGTACGCGGGGCGTTCCGGTTTCTACAGGGGGTGTACATGTGCAACTTCGCAAATGACACACCCGACTTCTAAAATTTGTAAGTTTCACATACGAGCTCCGTTTTCGACGTTTTTTATATCCACACGTAGGTAGAGACGTACTATATAATTTTCGTTTAGACTCGGTAAGTTATATTTTTAACAGGCCGGGACAGGAAAAGTCCGTTAAAAATTCACAACTTTGTCATCCAACATCCGTTTTCGTCTATCTTTTCGTCGTTGAGCTTCTATTAACGAGATCTTCAATTCTTGTTTAGGTTGTGTCAGTTAACAGTCGGTCGATCTAATATTCGAACTCCGGGCAGCATACTGCTATGCCAAATCTTAGAAAATTCATAACTTTCTCATACGAAGTCAGATTTGGGCGTTCTTTATATGTACGGTACCCTTGTGATATGTTCTATAACTTAGTTAAGATCATTTATTCTAAATAGTCTTCCATCAAAAAGTCATTATTGACGCTCATTGTATCTAAATTGACTAGCCCGAATCTGTAGGCGTTACAGCAGTCTTTGCTCATGTGGCCTGCCTGACCACATCCGAAACATCTGGAGCCCACTGATCGATAAGCTCCACCATACAGCTTGCCGTAATGGCACAACGGCTTGGGCCTGGCTGCCCTCTATTGTGAACATCGGAGGTCTTAGGCTTCTTAGCCTGACCCACTGCTGTCTGAACCTGCTCCAGTTTCTACGTCGTCCGGAGCTCCAACACGATTTCCCGCTCGCGGGCCTTCTCAATCATGTCATTCAGGGCCTTGCACCCTGAAAAGCTCACAAACTCTCGGATATCATCTCTCAGCATATCATGATATCTCTTCTTCCTCATCTCCTCATCCACACCAAAAATGGCTTTTTTATGATTCTCCAAGCTCAAACTCACTTGCAATGGCAATTAGGGTTTCTAGGGACATCTAGAGGCTAGGGAGGTTGATAAGAAAGAGGTCCAAAGGTCATAAGAAGGTTTAAATAGGAGACAAGTCCAAAAATTCGTGTTTCAAGCCATAGGCAGCGTACGCCCCGCGTACCTCCTCGTACGCCCCGCATACAAGGATCTGATGCTCGATGATTGCATGCCCTCGTACGCTTTGCTTACATGTGCATACGTCCAGCATACGAGGGGAGAGTTTCCTTGCCAAAAACTTAAGATTAGTTAATGAAGAAAAAATACCTGGATTTCGGATGTTACATAAGGCAATCTTAGTCGACTCATCGTAATGCTTATCATAAGCAACTACATCGTTATCAATAGATTCATCATTGAGTTTTGGGAGTTCCGCATCAAGAACCTACTCTTTGTTCTTATACATCAATGTGATACTTAGGGTGCAGATCTAATCAAGGTAGTCAGGACCAACGATTTTTAACTTCATAAAACTGATAGGAGTAAGAAGTTGGAGTGAAGTGGTGGAGGAGGAGGACGAGGAGGAAGTTTGTTGTTTTTGTTGTTTGGGATCGACAACTACAAAATAGAGCAGTAGCGAGTCTAGAATAGAAAACCACACGGTTCACTAATTTTTGTATAGAAAATTTTGTATATAAATTAAATGATTTTATTGGTAAGGTAGGTCCTAAATTTTTTCTAAGGTTGGTCACAAAAATTTTTCTATAGAAATTATAGAAAATTTTGAAAAATTAGGTGCGTCATTGGACCCAGGTTCCTTATTTATAGCCTCGCCACTGAAATAGAGAGTTTAGTTAGTTTGATTTTATCCTTAAAATAATTTACCCAAAAGAATTACTTAACAAGGTTAGGATCCATGTTTTCCTTTGTAATGTGTAAATGGATGACGTAAGCACACCATAAAGTTATTTAGGTAGACTAAACTCTTCCCCAATTTCATTATCTAGAAAACTCCTAGATCTAGTGAGATTCTTTGACTAGAGTCAATGTCATGTTAATCTCGGATTGTGCTCATTTCATATTTATGACATGGATGCCGTGGATTATAAAACAAATGGTGAATCCACCATGCAAAAAACGTGTGATGCTTTGCTCAAGTTAAGCTTGAGATTCGTGAGTTTCACATCATTTCCAACTATAATCCTCATATTGATGTGTCAGCTAAGGGCATACGCCCCATCAACAGATTATACAGAAATGTTCATTTTTCATGTGTAACACATGATTCCCCTTTTTAATTATATAAAATTAGAATTTTGTTTTACTACTTTAGTTAATAATTTTAACTTTCAACATATATACTATCAAATCCTTTCGGTAACTCCACTCTCAAAATGCAAAGGGGTGGTGAAGGCACTAAGATATGAGCTTTTTAAAAACCAACCCCATTAGGAATCATAGAGGCCTCTTTAAACCTCTTTCGTATTATTAGAGTGGGTGAAGCCTACTCATGGCTTGACTAACAATGTCTTAATTAAACATTTAATGACAGATGTTGTAAATATGTAGTACATATAGTAATTATATTATATAATAAATTTAAATCTTTTATATTTATAGATAATTAAATATTCAAATTTAATTCTCTATTAAATAATATTTAATTTTTTAAAGTAAATATTCAAATTTAAATTTAATTTAAATAACATTAAAATTTTGAGATTTATTAATTCCAGATTTATCTTAAATATTCAAATTTAATTCTCTTATCAAAATAATATATGTAAAAAAATTAATTTAAATAACCATATTTAAATCTTATTTAAATAATATTTCAAACTATGAGTTTCTCCAAATCCGAAAAGAAAAGACAGTGCACGCCTTGCTAGATGAGTCTGTCGCGCCTAACGAGGTTTCATATTATTGATTTTTATTTTATTAGTAGTTCATATAACTAAAACTCATTGTCTCTGATACCATTGGAGATTATTGCATTCTATACCCACTAGTTTGAGTAATGCAAAAAAAACCCTATGTGTACATGCGTCCTATGGATCTAGGTTTTTCAATTATAGCAATCTAATTTAAAACTTGAAAAGAAACTAACCTCTTGATCTTGATCCTCTTGGTTCCTTACTCGAGGTATAGTCACAACCACTTTTCTCGGACGATGAGGACCCAAACTAGGAATCCCTTTATTGGAATCACACCTAAAACACCAACTAGCAAGCAACGGCGGTGCAGGTGGGTGTTTACATGTATGTGTGTGTGTTTTCAAATCATCTACAGTTCTTTTAACTCATTCAAGCTTTTGTTTGGCTAAATGGAGCTTTGTCTCCTTCAACAACAACCTCAGCATCCATAAACAATAAAGTTACAGGATTTGGTGGGTCTAAACCCTAGTACCCAAGTTCAACTTGCTTTTGGAGTGTAGATGCGAAATCGGAGTTTGTTTAGTTCGAATTTGAATTGATCATCGAATTAAGTAGCGTTTTCTAGGAGCGTGCTCAAACCACCATTATAAACTCATAGTGGGGGAAACAATGAAATCAATTGGATTTTAGTCTATTGATTATTGATTTGGGCTTTCTTGGATTTGAGTATCGGGAATGAGGGTTGCGAGTTTAAGGCAGGAAGACCAAAAAGAAAATGAAAATGGAGAGAGAGAGAGAGAGAGAGAGAGAGAGAGAGAGAGAGAGAGAGAGAGAGAGAGAGAGAGAG